ACCTTTCCCAAGCTGAGTATAACGATTCACCTGCTTTCTGTTTGACCACTATTTCACTTCTGATCTTTGCAGTTTTGCCTGAAGGAAAGAACCTTGCTAGAAATTTTCTCGCCAGATCATTCCATGTTGTAATGGAGTTAGCTGGTTCTGCCTTTAGCCATCGCTTAGCCTCACCCAATAGAGAGAATGGAAAAAGTGTGAGCCTCACATAATCTGGAGTGACCCCGTTAGTGATATAAGTATCACTAATCTCCAAGAAGTTCAGAATGTGTTGCTGCGGATCCTCATGTGGAAGACCCATAAATTGCCCGATCGCATGAAGTAACTGGATCATGCTCTGTGTCAGCTCAAAGTGCCCAGTGATCCTGGGCTTCACGATACTGGAGGTGACATTAGCAATGCTGGGCATTTCTACCTCCTGAACAGCCATAGGTTGCTCCTCTGCCATGTTCACAGGAAATTGAACAAGTGCCTGAATATTATTCGTGTCCCTTGCTTCCCTCAACCTCCTGTGAAATGTTCTCTCAGGTTCAGGATCAAAGCCTTGAAGTCTGTCCTGGCTTCTGACCCTACGCATTCAATCAAAGTTCCTGAGATCTGAGCAACAATCAAGCAACGTTAGACTAGGCGAAATAAGCAAATAAAGCAAAAACTAGCAAGTAGTTAATATTCAAGTCCTCGGCAACGGCGCCAAAAACTTGTTGCTCCCAAACGCACACGTAAGTATACGTGGTCGACAAGTAATATAATGATAAGTTGAGTGCCGAACCCACAGAGACTTGTGTAAACTACTCACTAAATCACTAAAATTGCTATTCAATCTAGCTAAAAGCAAAGTCCAATAATATGATTATACTATACTACGATTCTAAGTAATACTAAATTATCAAGTAACGAATTGATTGTTGTGTATTCAGTAGAGACAAGTATTCCAGGGTTGTGATCGATTCGCCATTCGTATTGTGTTCTAATTAACTCTCCCTTTCATATAATTCACCCATGATTGCTAATTAATCGATAAATGCCCTCGTAGCCTTCTCCCGAAGTACTACTCACCTATTCTCAATAGATTAACGCCTATATACCTATAAAATCAATCTATTAAGAACGCATTAAGATTACGATATTTAATTAAGCACGGTGACTAGGTATATTCCTATCCTAACCACAAATCCGCTCCCCCTAAGGGTTAAGATCATGCTCTCTTCAATTCTTCTCTAATCTAAACATGGCTTTCCCAAGCATAGCATAGATAGTAAATAGAACCTAACTGTTGGCCAGACAATTAAGCAATTAAACACAGAATTGAAGAAACAACCATGTATTGGTGAATTATAATCAAGGTCAAGCTAATATCAAACAACAATATTCATGGCTAACTTACAACCCCAGATCAATGGGTGTTTAGCCACTCATGATGTAATCAAACAATTTCATAAGTTTTGATTAATTGAAAGTATAGAAAAAGATGAAGAATTCCGAGTTGTTCTTGCTCCTCAATGTTTCTAGTGTGTATTTTTGCTCCAAAGTGGCGTCCTCCCCCTTTCTTGGCCGGCTTCCCTCGTTTAATATAGGGTTTAGGGCTTAAAATCCCGTGTTTTGCACTTTGGTCCCTGAAGTTTACGCGTCCTGCCGCGGTCCTACCGCGGTTACACCAGGACCGCGGCCAGAGTGGCCTTCGGAATCTGCAGCAATGTTCTGCCGCGGTCCTACCGCGGTTACGCTCGGACAGCGGCCAGAGTGGCCTTCAAATCTGGTTTTGTCCCTTCGCTTGGTGCACTTTGTGGATATTGTATGATTGGCCTCCTTTTCTCCGTAATTGATCCCAAAATTACTCCAAAGACTTCTTTTATTGGATATAGTCTGCAAAGCATGAAAAGCACTAATCAGAGCATTTTGTTATCATTCTTTACCGTAAAAACTATACAAAAATGTGGTTCTTTAGGGCCTAATTATAGTCTAATTTACCTATTATCACCCATCATCAACACCCCACACTTAAACGTTGCTCGTCCTCGAGCAATTGGACAATATAACAAACCCCCCGACTACGTACAAGTATCAATTATCGAGGAACACCCTAACTTTAAACCACACACTATACCCTTGACTACAATCAATATCGGCACACAAGCATGAACACACAAAATTTCACATTCTTCCCGTTTAAGCATACCCAAGTAAAATATTTCAATTCAATAAATTCCAACAACCTATTCGTCACTGCCCAACCTCAACAATCGACTTGCGACCACTAAGCACCCTCAATTCATGCACTTACCCAACAAGAAAGTTTACAACATTACCAATCATTCATGAGATCATGTGCCCTCACCAACAAACGAAAGAATGAGTATAAATTGGTCCACACATTCAAATATACTTTTGAATATAATTTAAGGACATCACACAATTGAACAAAATTCACTCACTCTCACAAAGAATTCATGTGCATCCCGTGGTCGTACCATAAGCTTGCCCGTAGTGTATATCTCTACTAATTTAAGCTAGCCAAATCTATGATCAATTAGGACTTTTATGTTGTAATGTAGGCTAAGGGACGGGTAGGATATATTTAGAAATAGTGACTCACCCTCCTAAGCACTTTAATACACTACATTCACAATTCAAGCTCATATTCTTCTCAACCAACCCACTTGCCACATACAACATAGCTCTCTTTTCAATTAAGCACTTCTCTATTTTTCACTAGCACAAATCAATAATAAATGGAGGTGTTTATTTTTTCTATATACATTCAATATCATTTTTCTTTTCTTTTCTCCACACACTCCATACAATAAAGTTCATCGGCTAGTGACCTTTAATTTCAACTTTAGTGCACCAACGGGCCCTTCCATGGTTCCACTCAAAAGCTACTCCCCAATCTCTAACCTTACTTCTTTTAGCGACTAAGTGCCTTAGGAGGTACAGGTTCAATCAATATCAAATTAAGAACAAAATGGGGGTATGACTTGTAATGTGGATGCCAAAAGAAAGGTCTATAGGCTCAAAGGGGCTAGCAACGCAAAAATTTATTTTTATGTGACAAGCACATCCATGATCAAAAAAGAAAATGCCTACGTCATCTCCAAGATTAGCACAACTTACAATTTTGCTTCAATTAACACACGGGGCAAGTTCTAGACTACACAGGATAGCATAGAAAATCACGAACCTTACACACACGTTGCACATGAATCAATCAAGACGGTTCTGTTCAACTCTCAAGTCAAGCAAGCACAATTAAATGAGAAAATTAAGCAACATTGCACTATGCAGCCTACAAGTCAAAAAGCTGAGAAAAGGCGTCACAAAATAGGCTATTTACTTTACTTAAGCTTCACAATTCAAACCAAGTGCACGGGAAAACAGAATGTATGTCATAGCCTAATGTGCCAGCATCAATCATGTCAATGAGTATCTCAGAACGACTCAGTTTCTTCCTAAACTACTCCTAAAAAAAATTAAAATGCCCGGTTCTCTACACCCTTGGAAAAGAACCGGCGCCCAAAGAAAAATCAGGGATACTACCTAACTATCCTAAAAATAAAAAATCTTTTTGGTGTTTTTAAATCGGACTTTTATCCCTCAAGAAAATTGTCCTAAAGATCCATCGTTGGGAAAAGTCTGAATTTTTCACATTTTTTTTCAATTTTCGTTTTTTTTTCTTTTCGTTTTTTTTTCGTTTTTTTTTATTTAAACCTAGACTATGTCTACTACGAGTTCTAAAAGAAAAAAACTCAAAAAAATAGTTTTATACAATTACACTTCAGAAAGTAGTTTCCCCACCCCACACTTATATTATGCATAGTCCTCGATGCATGATTACATAGAAAGATATTAAAACAAGGGTGAGAAATACTCCCTGAGACCCTCTCGGGCCTAGCTCGGACATGATCCTCAATATTTAAGGGTCGGGACGACCCCACACTTAAGCTCAAACATGCACCTCAGCTTCAACTTTGGGTACTCAGACTTCCCCTACTCTGCAAAACAAAAACAACACAAAACTTGACACTAAAAAAAATTCAATAACTAAAAGATATACATGTTGGGTTGCCTCCCAACCAGCGCCTGATTTAATGTCGCGGCACGACGCAGAGTCTCGCTTACTCATCAGCGAGTACAACCTTTATCTTTTCACGATCAATCATTCCTCCCCAGTAATGCTTGACTCTATGACCATTCACCAAGAATGTCCTCTCACCTTTTAAAGCTCGTAGCTCGATTGCACCATAAGGGGTGACTCTCACCACCTTAAAAGGACCTGACCATCTCGACTTTAGCTTCCCAGGGAACAGTCGCAGTCTAGAATTGAATAACAATACCTGTTGGCCAGGCTCAAAGTGACGTGGCTCGATATGCTTGTCATGCCATCGTTTGGTCTTTTCTTTATATAGCTTGGCATTTTCATAAGAGTGCAACCTGAACTCGTCTAACTCATTCAACTACATAAGTCTTTTCTCACCTGCGGCTCCAAGGTCCATGTTCAGCTTCTTAATGGCCCAATATGCTTTGTGTTCGAGCTCAACGGGCAAGTGGCAGGCCTTCCCATATACCAGCTTATAAGGGGATGCTCCAATTGGTGTTTTATATGCAGTCCTATACGCCCATAGGGCATCATCCAACTTTGCAGCCCAATCCTTCCTATTCACACTTACTGTCTTCTCTAATATTTACTTGATTTCTCGGTTTGACACCTCAGCTTGACCACTTGTCTGCGGATGATATACTGTAGCAACCTTGTGGCAAACTCCATATTTAGCAAGAAGGTTATTCAACAATCAATTGCAAAAATGAGTCCCTTCATCACTGATTAAAGCCCGTGGAGTCCCAAATCTCGAGAATATGTTCTTTTTCACGAAAGCAGCTACCACCATGGCATCATTGGTTGGCAAAGCAATTGCCTCCACCCATTTTGACACATAGTCAACGGCTAGCAAAATATATTTGTTTCCTCTGGACGGCGGAAATGGCCCCATAAAATCTATCCCCCACACATCAAAAAGCTCAACTTCTAGAATATTATTCAAAGGCATCTCATGCTTCCTTGTGATTGTTCCCGTTCTCTGACATTGGTCACACTTCTTAACGAATGCATGCGCATCCTTGAATAAGGTTGGCCAAAAGAGGCCGGATTGTAACACCTTTGCAACTGTTCTATCTCCTCCATGATGGCCCCATAAGGTGATGCGTGACAATCATACAACACTAATTCCACCTCTTTTTCAGGAATGCATCTCCTCATCAACTGATCAGCACATTGCTTGAACAAATAGGGCTCATCCCAGTAATAGAAGTTCACATCATGTAAGAACCGGTTTCTAGTTTCAGATTAGATTTCGGGAGGGAATACTCCACTCACAAGATAATTCACATAGTCTGCATACCATGGGGGAGAGTCTTGGGTTATAGCAAAAAGTTGCTCATCAGGGAACATTTCTTTAATTTGGCCACCCTCCTCCACGTGATCATGATTTTCCAACCGTGATAGATGATCAACTACTTGGTTCTCTGTCCCCTTTCGATCTCGTATTTCAACATCAAATTCCAGCAGCAACAAAACCCAGCGCATCAAACGAGCTTTGGATTCCTTTTTTGTAAACAAATACCTGATTGTTGCATGATCCGTATGGACTATGACTTTCGTTCCCGCCAAGTATGCCCGGAATTTCTCAAAGGCCCACACAACGGCTAACAACTCCTTCTCAGTGGTGGTGTAATTCTGTTGTGCATCATCAAGAGTCTTACTCGCATAGTAGATAGAATAAAACATCTTGTCCTTTCTCTGGCCTAGCACTGCCCCAATAGCAAGGTCACTCGCATCACACATAAGTTCAAATGGTAGAGACCAATCAGGTGCCACAATAATGGGGGCAGTCACCAACTTCTTTTTAAGTTCCTCAAATGCGTTGAGGAAAGAATCATCAAAATTGAAAGAGACATCTTTTTCAAGCAGCCTGCACAAGGGAGTGGCAATTTTTGAAAAATCTTTAATAAAGCGCCGATAGAAACCCGCGTGTCCCAAGAAACTCCGGACACCCTTCACTGAGATAGGTGGAGGTAATTTTGCAACCGCCTCCACCTTTGCTTTATCAACTTCAATGCCGCTCCTAGATACTCTGTGACCCAACAAGATGCCCTCTTGTACCATAAAATGGCACTTTTCTCAATTTAGTACCAGATTTGTTTCTTCACAACGGGCCAGCACCTTGCTTAAATTCCTCAAGCAATCATCATAAGAAGACCCAAAAACTGAAAAATCATCCATAAACACTTCCACGAATTTTTCCACCATGTCGGTAAAAATAGCCATCATGCATCTCTAGAAAGTGGCTGGTGCATTACAAAGACCAAATGGCATTCGCTTGAAGGCAAAGGTGCCATAAGGACAAGTAAAAGTAGTCTTCTCCTGGTCCTCTGGGCATATGACAATCTGATTGTATCCTGAATAACCATCAAGGAAGCAGTAATATTCATGCCCGGCTAACCTGTCTAGCATTTGGTCGATGAATGGGAGTGGAAGTGATCCTTGCGAGTTGCCTTATTGAGCCTTCTATAATCAATGCAGACTCTCCAGCCCGTAACAGTGCGAGTGGGGATTAGCTCATTCTTCTCGTTCTCAACTACAGTCATTCCTCCCTTTTTGGGCACACATTGAACCGGGCTTACCCAGTTGCTATCAGAAATAGGAAAAATGATACCTGCATCGAGCAACTTGATTACTTCCTTTTTCACCACCTCCTTCATAATGGGATTTAATCTCCTTTGCTGCTCTACACTGGGGCGGTGTCCGTCCTCTAGAAAGATTTTATGCATGCAAAACGATGGACTAATGCCCTTGATGTCAGCTATAGTCCACCCAATGGCCCTTTTATGCTCGCGGAGGTCTCTGAGCAATTTTTCTTCTTGAGTGCTGGTCAAGCTGGATGAAATAATCACGGGCAGTGTCTCTGAGTTCCCCAAATAAGCATAACGCAGATGCGCTGGAAGTGGCTTGAGTTCTAGCTTCAGCGCTTCTTCAATAGATGGCCTGGGGAGGGTCAGAGTGACAGGCCTGTCCAACTCTTCAAATTTTCTAATCCCATGTACATAACTGCATGACATATCCAGCACTTGCTCAATCTCTCCCATCCTATCATCTTCACCATTTTCTACGTCCCCAATCAATACTCGTTCAACAAGATCTGCAGGGCTCATATAAGGTACTAACGACGTGGCATCACCTTCTACCACAGAGATCATGGACAATTCTTCATAGTAGGCTGGTAACTGGAGTGCTCTATAAACGTTGAAGACCTCCACTCGATCACCCACTCTCATCGTCATCTTTCCTTCACAAACATCAATAATAGCTCGGCCCGTGGCTAAGAATGGACGCCCCAAAATAAATGGGACTTCCTGATCAGGCTCGTAATCCAGGATGATGAAATCAGCTGGGAATATAAAAGACCCCACTTGGACAAGCACATCTTCAATTACTCCCTCAGGATGAGCAAGGGAGCGGTCAGCTAACTGTAAGATAACGGTGGTTGGGCGTGGTTCACCCAACCCCAACTGTCTGAATATAGATAGCGGCATCAAATTGATGCTTGCTCCAAGGTCACATAGAGCTCGCCTAACAGCATCTTTACCAATCGTGATTTGGATAGTGAAACTACCTGGATCCTTCAATTTCTGAGGTAACTTGCCTTGAATTCTGGAACTGCACTCCTCAGTGAGTGCCACAGTCTCGAACTCGGTCAGCCTCCTTTTATTCGCCACAATGTCCTTGATGTACTTTGCATATTTGGGTACTTCCTGTAAGATGTCAACCAATTAATTTGTACCTGCTTCAAGATATCAAGAAACTTTTTATATGCGGCATGATCTCGTAATTTCTGCAGTCTTTGCGGGAATGGAAGTGGTGGCCTTGCAACCAATTGTGGGGATTGCTCAGCCACCGCCTCTCCAGCCGGCTTCTCTGGCTCCTTGGCTTTTTCTGATGTTGATTCTACAGTGGCTGGCATCTCATTAAAAGTCACCTGTTTCCTCTTTTTAGATAGAACTCCTCTATTTGTCTCCCATTCCTCAACGACACAGCATTAAGGGTCACCCTAGGATTGGCTTCAGTGTCACTTGGAAGAGCTCCCGCTGGTCTAGTATTTTGAGCACTAGCAAGCTGTCCCATTTGATGCTCCAAATTTCTCACTGTTGTAGCAAGGGCTTAATGTTTAGCCATCATCTTTTTAAACATGTCTTCAAGGTGGCTTGTAGGATTCGCTTGTTGTTCAACCTGAGGTGGTCTATATTGTTGTTGAGGTGCTTGAGGCCTGTATTGATTCTGAGTGCCCTGGTTTCCACCCCAAGAGAAGTTTGGGTGGTTCTTCCAGTTGGGATTGTAAGTGTTCCCATATTGGTTTGTTTGGCCCCTATTTGAATTACCCTCAAAGCAGATAGACTCTGGGTTTGCGGGGCATATGTCGCTCGTGTGCCCTTCTCTACATATTTCACAAAAAGCCTGAACATGTTGTACCGGTTGTGTTTGCTGCTTGTTGATACTCAAATTCATCTGGTTCACTTGATTGGCTAGTGTAGCAATCTGCGCTGATAATGCTGAGACGACATCTAACTCAAGAACCCCTGCAGACTTTTGCACTGTGTGCCTGCCCATCTTTCCTTGCCAATCCGGATTGCTCTTGGAGAATTTGTTCAATAATGCATATATCTCGTCAAAGCTTTTCTCTAACACCTGACCTCCAGCTGCAGCATCTACCACGATCTTTGTTTCAGAATGTAGTCATTCTATGAAAGTGTGAGCTAACACTTCATTCGTCTGATTGTGATGAGGACAGTCTCTGAGTAGCCCCTTGAACCTTTCCCAAGCTGAGTATAACGATTCACCTGCTTTCTATTTGAAGGCCACTATTTCACTTCTGATCTTTGCAATTTTGCCTGAAGGAAAGAACCTTGGTAGAAATTTTCTCGCCAAATCATTCCATGTTGTAATGGAGTTAGCTGGTTCTGCCTTTAGCCATCGCTTAGCCTCACCCAATAGAGAGAATGGAAAAAGTGTGAGCCTCACATAATCTGGAGTGACCCCGTTAGTGATATAAGTATCACTAATCTCCAAGAAGTTCAGAATGTGCTGCTGCGGATCCTCATGTGGAAGACCCATAAATTGCCCGTTCGCATGAAGTAACTGGATCATGCTCTGTTTCAGCTCAAAATGCCCAGTGATCCTGGGCTTCACGATACTGGAGGTGACATTAGCAATGCTGGGCATTGCCACCTCCTGAACAACCATAGGTTGCTCCTCTGCCATGTTCACAGGAAATTGAACAAGTGTCTGAATATTATTCGTGTCCCTTTCTTCCCTCAACCTCCTGTGAAATGTTCTCTCAGGTTCAGGATCAAAGCCTTGAAGTCTGTCCTGGCTTCTGACCCTACGCATTCAATCAAAGTTCCTAAGATCTGAGCAACTATCAAGTAACGTTAGACTAGGCGAAATAAGCAATTAAAGCAAAAACTAGCGAGTAGTTAATATTCAAGTCCCCGGCAATGGCGCCAAGAACTTATTGCTCCCAAACGCACACGCAAGTATACATGGTCGACAAGTAATATAATGATAAGTTGAGTGTCGAACCCACAGAGACTTGTGTAAACTACTCACTAAATCACTAAGCTTGCTATTCAATCTAGCTAAAAGCAAAGTCCAATAATATGATTATACTATCCTATGATTCTAAGTAATACTAAATTATCAAGTAACGAATTGATTGTTGTGTATTCAGTAGAGATAAGTATTCCAGGGTTGTAATCGATTCACCATTCGTATTATGTTCTAATTAACTCTCCCTTTCATATAATTCACCCATGGTTGCTAATTAATCGATAAATGCTCTCGTAGCCTTCTCCCGAAGTACTACTCACCTATTCTCAATAGATTAACGCCTATATTCCTATGAAATCAATCTATTAAGAACGCATTAAGATCACGATATTTAATTAAGCACGGTGACTAGGTATATTCCTATCCTAACCACAAATCCGCTCCCCCTAAGGGTTAAGATCATGCTCTCTTCAATTCTTCTCTAATCTAAACATGGCTTTCCCAAGCATAGCATAGATAGTAAATAGAACCTAACTGTTGGCCAGACAATTAAGCAATTAAACACAGAATTGAAGAAACAACCATATATTGGTGAATTATAATCAAGGTCAAGCTAATATCAAACAACAATATTCATGGCTAAATCATAACCCCAGAACAATGGGTGTTTACCCACTCATGATGTAATCAAACAATTTCATAAGTTTTGATTAATTGAAAGTACTGGAAAAGATGAAGAATTCCGAGTTATTCTTGCGCCTCAATGTTTCTCGCATGTATTTTTGCTCCAAAGTGGCGTCCTCCCCCTTTCTTGGCCGGCTTCCCTCGTTTAATATAGGGTTTAGGGCTTAAAATCCCGTGTTTTGCACTTTGGTCCTTGAAGTTTACGCGTCCTGTCGCGGTCCTACCGCGGTTACCCCAGGACCGCGGCCAGAGTGGCCTTCGGAATTCGCAACAATGTTCTGCCGCGGTCCTACCGCGGTTACGCTCGGACAGCGGGTAGAGTGGCCTTCAGATCTAGTTTTGTCCCTTCGCTTGGTGCACTTTGTGGATACTGTATGATTGGCCTCCTTTTCTCCGTAATTGATCCCAAAAGTACTCCACGGACTTCTTTTATTGGATATAGCCTGCAAAGCATGAAAAGCACTAATCAGAGCATTTTGTTATCACTCTTTACCGTAAAAACTATACAAAAATGTGGTTCCTTAGGGCCTAATTATAGTCTAATTTACCTAATATCACCTATCATCAGTATGTTGCTGCTGCTTCTTGTTGTGCTCAACTACTATGGATCAAACAACAGTTGGTAGGTTTTGGAATTGAAGTGGGATGTATTCCAATATTCTATGATAACACTAGTGCTATAAGTATGACAAAGAACCGTGTTCATCATAAGAGGACTAAGCACATAGATGTTAGACACCACTTCTTAAGAGATAACTATGAGAAAGGTTTGATTGCAATAGAATTTTGTGCTACTGATAAATAAATAGCTGACATTTTTACTAAAGCATGAGTAGAGAAAACTTTGAGAGGAACAAGTTGGAATTAGGGATGATTAAGATCACCTAATAGGTCCAGTTCAGAATGCACAATGAAAAAAAAAATTGAAAAAATTGTATTTTGGTTAGGAGTTCTAACTTTGTGTAAATATCTAGATCAATTCTTACTCAGTTTCATACTTTAATTAGTATACTCCTGTGACATGTGTATATATGACTCACTGATCTCTTACAAAAGTTTTTCTATTATGGCATTTGAGGCATGTTCAAGAGAATTCTATATGAAGAACTTGGTTCATCAGTATGTGTTCATATGAAAGCTCAGGTATGTTTTCTATACTCTGCACAATTAGAAAAATTAATTTTCCAATCATGAGCAGAAGTCCTACATTTGTAAAATTCCCAGAAATTCTATCCGTTGAACATTGAACCAGTTTCATTTTCCTAGAACTCTAAAAACCGGGATTTTTGCCTAAAATCTAGCGATGCCTAATAATTACTAAGAGACTGGAATTACACCTTGATTAGACCTCTAATTGACCCCTGAAAAGGCTGTCGTTACTGCACTTATTACTATTTGCCTTTAAATACACACCACACCTCTTCTTCTTAATCCCATAACCGTCAAAATTGTATCTCCAGTTCAAATTGATTTTCCTCTTCAGAAATCCCAAATCGTCTTCTTCTCAGAAATTCCCAAAACACTTCCTTAATCGAAGAACCATGTCTAACCCCCAAGATAATCCTGGCACTCCCCCACCAGCATCCCTCTCTAACACATCCTCATCTACTCCTCCTAGTGAATCCCCAAAACCTAGGTTTCATAGGCAGAAAATGTTGGCTAGAAAAACTGTAGCATCTGGAGCCCTAAGGAAAGCTCTAAATGAGAGATTGAAGGCTGGCCAAAAGAAAGAAAGTCTTGTTCACGAATCTGACTCCAGCTCTAAGTCTGAAGCTTTTATTTCTGCTAGTGAAGGTGAAGAACATGGGTCTTCTGACACTGAGAAAATTCAAGAAACCCCTGGTGAGGTAAGTTCTTGTGTGGTATTTTCTACTGTGGTTGAAAGCACTGAAAATAGGTTTGTTCTAGTTAGTCCTATTAAAGATGTAGAGGTGGCTGAATCAGGTAGGAGTGGAGGTAAAAAGAAAAGAAAAGAGAGAGAGGGAGCAAGTGGTGATGAGAGGGGTAATGGGAAAGAAAAGGTTCTTGCTATCTGTGGGAGTATTGAAGAAAGTGGCATCAAGTCAGGTGGAAGTGGTTCTGGAGAGGCGGCTGAAGGGCTTGTTCATCTAAGCAAGCAACAAGAAGAACCTGTTTCATCAGCTGAGGAAACCCTGGCTGATCTTCTGAAGAGGGTTGGGGCTAGTTATGATCCAAAGAAGCACAAAGCTTCACAAAAGGCTCCAACTGCTTCCAAGCCAACCAAGAAAAGCAAAACTTCATCCCCAAAACCTACTGTCCCTTCAGTGCCTAAGGGAAGAGCTACTAGAAGCAGGGTCAAGCAAAGTGAAGCAGAGTTACAGAAAGCTCTGGAAGAAAGCAGGAAGAAAAAGAGGGAGAAGGGAAAAGTAAAGGTTGTAGAAAGCTCTGAAGTAGTAGTAGAAGAAGAGGAGATGGAACTGGTCCATTAAGAAAGAGGAACAACTGAAGAGGTTCCAACACCCAAACCAAGAAGAACCAAGACTTCTTCAAAGAAGTCTTCCCCTGTACATGTACCTGCTGAACCCTCTTTGGCCAAAAGAACAAGATCTGCAGTAAAAGGCAAGCAGGTGAAAATTACTGAGGAAGATAAAGAATGGAGTGGTGAAGAAGAATAGGAAGAATCTGAGAAAGAACAAGATAGGTTTGCCATCTTTGGCAAAAGAAATTTTTTGAAAGGAAGGCTGCTGAAAGACCTAGATGAACCAGGAATAA